ATTGTCACGTAATTCAGAAAATAAGCTGGAATTGAAGCTGTCAAAATTGGTCCATGAAAACACAGGCTGACAAGACATACACACGGCAGACTTATACTAGGAAAGTTGCAGAATCCAATCTAAACATTTCCAAATTAGCAGATTTTTTTTTATCACAGTAAAGATGTCCTATTAAAGCTGAGAGGAATATAAATTATGAGACTAAGCCTTGGAATAAAGCATCAAATAGAACAGCCACATAAATCATTCTTTTACATTTACGTACTCTTTGAACAAGACTACCCAGATTTAGCCTATGGCACCAGAAATATTCACAGTGAATGGTGATATTTTCTGGAGAAGCGCATTTTCCTAGTTAGATTTCCTTACACTGTTTTTGCCTCTACTGCTCTCCTGTTTTCCCTTTTACACACGATACAGATGCATGTGTCTCTTACATATAACTGTAAAGAAATAAGTCTAATTTCATAAACTATAAATAAAAGCACCACATTGTTTTACACTTAAAATAATTTTATTTTGGAAGATGTATGAAGCAAATTTAACTGAAATCATTACTGTATTAAAATAAGATGTCTACTTTTTATGAGAGACTTTTTTTTGGAGCAATCAATATTCATGTTGGGTATACAAAGGAGTAAGTCGAAGGTGGACCAGACTGAGACTTAGATGACGAGCAATCTTAACTATTACTGATTTTTATATGAAAAACAGCTTTTATAACTATATTATTTATAATGGTTTACAACAAAGCATACGGAAGAATAATTATGATATGTGCCTCCTTTTCTTTCAAATAGAATCATCCGTGATTCTAAAGCATAATTCTGCCCTTAAACTCTTTTCACTATATATTTCATTTTTAGGTGTTTTTCTAATAAGAGCAAATATTTCAAAAGTTTTTAATTGAATCTTGCCATTCAATACCAACACATGGTCCTTTATATTCTTGCTGATACATCCAATGGATGCAAGAATTATGCATGAATTTTTACGTCTACATTTCAACTTCCTATGTGAACATTTTTACAAATGCATTCCCTTTACTTTCTCCTGGCCTTGTTTTCTCATAAGTCCCGATCTTTCTTGGAGCAAAGTGGTGTTGGTCTCAACTAGAAGACAACAATACAAATAATTGCTATTGCTTTCGGTAGAGAAAAGCAGTGTCTTTCACACCACACCGTTGTGTATCTATGTTTTATCCAGTTTATAGATGACAGAAAGGAAACAATCTATAAGAGAGGAGTAAGGAAAGTAATCTAGCAACAGCTGCACTGATCCAGGTCAATTGAATCTGCAAAAGACCCTTTCTGGATTCTGGTGATAGCAATGAGTTCCTTGGGTCACAGTGAATAGTTGGCTGAGATATTTAATTTATTTTGAAGTAAGCCATAGAAAAAAACTAGGGGGCAATTTCAGCAATGTGCAGCATCTCTAAAGAGAAACTAAATAATTATCATTTCTAGAATCCTAAATTTCTAAATCTGGAAATGTGTTCTAAAGAGTCATGAAACATTTCATCCATAGAGAATAAACTAATCTTAAAAAATACATCATTTATGTTTGATTTTTCATTATTTATAGATGAGAAGACCAAGGATGAAAGAACAAGAGTGATTTATAGAATCAGCTGGTATTGTTCAACTAGATTGGAAGATTTTTACTATTCCGTGCTACCTGAAACCTATGAATATTAATAGTATGTATCAAAACATATAAATCTGCCAGAACTTTATATTTTCCAAAATACTTAGTGAAGTCTTATAATGCATTGTGTGCTCTCTCTCACGTACATGTGGTTAACAGATATAGCAAGGAAAATATTAGGCTAGTGGTCAGAAGGTCTTGGTTTAGTCTCTTGCTACACACCTGCAGAATGTAGGAGAATTACTTGAACACACCACTCTCAATTACTTCATATATTTAGGAAAAACATTCAACGAGGTGTATACCATTTTCCACCTCTATAATTTTTGAGGTTTTCAAAAATACACCATACAATTTTTTTTCTTTTGTGTATCTTCTTTAGAGAATAAGCTTTACCCCAGCTACCAATAAGCCTACCTATTCCACACCCAAAAAATGATAAAAATAATCCCGAGTTAAGGTGTGAAAAATTCTTTGCCCCTAGTAAACATCCCATGACTAAACAGACAAAAGATGAATAATAGCTTATCAACAAATATATTCAAAATATATTCAAAATATTATCAATAAATATATTCAAAAAAAGGAAAAATTATTATTAAAATAGGTTGTTTGATTCCAGATTATTTTTCTAAAAACAGGAATTTTTTTTCTACTGTTCATTTATCTACAAGTGCTGAGATTGTTACAGGATAATGATAAAGATAATCAATATAATCATTGATCTCCAGAGAAAGAAATATTGATCCTGTGTTACAACCAAGATATTGTCATTTGGGAACTCACTGTAAAAACAACTATTAAATATTTATTATTAAAAATAATTATTACTATGCAAAAATTTACTCTAACCAGAGCTACAAAGAAGCATTATAATGGTATCAATATCGTAATTCTGTTTATGTGTTAACAGGCTGTTTATCTTTAAATCTTTCTCTCATTAAATGCTTATAGAAGAAAGATAAAGAAAAAAATTAAATTTGTAAAAATAAAGATCATCTCTTAAATGCATCTGGTTGGAGGAAATTCTCACACTAAAATAAAAAGAGCATTTCAGATTTGTTTCCTGATGAACTTCTAAAAACTTCATGTATAAACAGTCAGTAATACTTATATCATTGAATCTGTTATCCTTTCTTGGAATTTAAAAAAACAAATAAACTAATTTAAGACCCTTTATGTTATATATTTTAATGGCATCACAGCAAATATATGATCATAGAAAAACTGGACATCCTTAATGGCACAATTGAGGTTTTATCCTAAATCACTTGCTCAAAACATTTGAGAAAATACCCCTTTGATTATTTCTTGTTCTCTTTCAGTTGAATATTTTCCTCCTTTTTTCAAACTAATAAATTATGGAAAGAGCTCTAGAAAGAATTATTTTTATTTGTAAAATTAGCCAAGATCTTTCTTGATATTGAATGGGGAAGCAAATTAACTCCAAAGCTTCCTAGAACTTATTTCAAGTTCATTACGCAGAGCAGACGATCAAAATAACTGGTCCAGAACATCCTGTTACCATCAGAAAACATCAGGCAAACTGTCAACCTCTTTCTTCTTTCTTGACAAATATCTAGTGGTCTCTGTCTCCAAAACTTAAAACTTATTTCCTCTCTCAATTTGCTTTTCAGTATCACAAATTCGTCATGTCACAGTAGTTCTTTTGAGGGATGTTTCTGCTTCCAGAACTGAGCTGGCAGCAGAGCGGCTACACAATGTAATATGTGAACAGATTCACTGTGGTATTTTAAAAAATTGTCTTTGCTTTTCAAATTGGAGTCTCTAAAAAAGGTGTGAGGGACATATTTATTCACACTTTGTAATTCTCTTCTACCACTGTGTTGTCTTTGTACCTTTATCTCCACACTTTTCAAAGTGCTTTTTTTAAAACGAATTGATACATTAGCCTGTCTTCAAAGTTAATTTACAATTATAAATATGTAATCAGAAGACAGATACAAAAATAAATAAGTCCTCATTTTTTATCTACCCTCATTCCAGTCACTAAAACTAATAGTTGAATGAATAATACTCTTTTTCATTATTGGATTTTCCGCATATTCTGCTTTATTATTTTACTTATTGCTTTATGAATTGTAATATTAGTTTTTACATGTTTCAATAGAAAATTTATCAGCACATCCATTTTTGTTGGCACCAAATTCCCAGAATTCTCATTTTAAAATATAAATGACTAGATGTTTTCATTAATCTTTTTAAATTGATATTTACTTACTAAACATTAAAATACCATATTATTATAAGCATCATATTCTTTGCAAAATAATATTTTAGCAAAACACTTCTGTTCATTTCATTAAAATATTTTCTTCACTCCATCAAATTATTAAGAAGGAAACTGAACGTCATGTAGATGCAATGTTAGAGGAAAATGACAATTTTTTGAAAATACTTATATTTATTTTCCTTACCCTTTCAATATTTGTCTTTAAAAAGTTTCCTGTCAAACTCTACCACTTTTAATATTCTGTCCATCTTTACTTCTGTCAAATCCTCTTTAAGTTTCTTAATGAAACAAGTGCTTCATTTGATTAAATTTTGCATTGGTATCTTTAGTCTAATTATATTATCACAATAAAATGTAAACTAGGTCAGCAACAAATAGTTTCATGAACAAGTAATGCTTTGCCAAACAAGAGGCTATTTCATTAGAATAACAGCATCAAAAATAAAATTCTATTACTCTTAGATACCTTTCGATCAAAACCTTCATTCATACAAATGATCATCCTAGTATAATAAAAATAATTTGTATTTGTATGATTTGTCCCTATGAAAAAATTTAATTCACCCAAGTATACAGAAAGAATGGAGACAAATGATTTAATATTTGGCACACTATAGAGAGTAAAAAATGTATATGTTAGGATCCCAAAGCGAAGTCTTTGATTTGTATTTAGTGCCTACCAGTCAGTTTTCTTTCCGCCAATGCGTTTGTCATGAATACACCTGAAATGTCATTCCATGCTGTAACAACACTCAAGGTGGCCATTATATCAAAAAAGTCAAAACTAAAACTTTGGATAGAAAGTCATACTTTTAAGTAATGTTTACTTTACACTGAAATCATAAAATGCTGTAAAGCTTTTACTGAAAATATTTATATGCATTTTCACATATACTTCAACTAAACAAAAACTTTCCATACTCTGTCCTTTCAGAAGTGGAATTCAGTCTTGATATCTACAAAACAGCACCCTCAAAGAAAAGCAATGCAGCAAAGATGCAAAAATGACATCCATGTTGATTTGTAAATAAATCTAGTTGCCATCTGAATTGAACCAAAAAACAAACAAAATAAAAACTGGACTGCTGATAGGCCTTACCTTCTTGAACTGCTTGAAAAGGGTTGTTGCCATCGACAAATGTCACTGAAAATGTGATTTTCTCAGTCTGTAAGATCTCTTCATTCTGGTTGAGGTCACCAACCGCTGTGCGAAACACCTCATCATCCTTTTTGGCAGATTCATCAAAAATTGCTCCTACAAAGAAGTGAGTGTGGTCATTAAACAACAACATGAATATTCTGTCATGCTCTCTGTAAATATGCCAGGGACTTATATATTTGAAAAAATGTATACCTTCACTTAAAGCATGCATTTTATTTATTACTGAAGTACACTATACTGGAAGCAGTATGGTAGCTAAGCAGGAATATGTAGTTACTTCTTCCAAATGGAAATTATGAATAGCACATCAAAGTGTTATTTCAGGCAAAGCTTTGGTGAGACAATATAAGAAGTCCCAAAAGTTTTGCAGGACAAAGTGGCTGATACATTAGATGTCTCATATCATGGTATCTTTAGGAATTCATAGCTTTAAGAATATTTTTCTGAACAATAGGAGATAAAATCAGGAAACTTTCTGAGAGCCATTCACACAAGCATACGGGAATCAAACTTCTATTGTGATCTTAATTTATTTTTCATTTTTCTTTTTCTTTTTTTTATTTTGAAGAAAGATATTAGTATCTTTTAGAACATGAATTCAGTAACATTAGACAAGTACAAATCTCTGAGCAGAGACAATTTGAGAAATACTTCCTAAGAACTAACATAAATCCTAATGGATAATTATAGCCTTTTTCACATAAATACAATAATAATGATGATAAGAATTGTGGCTAACTTGATTGACTGTCAACAGGGAACTGGCTAAACACACCAGTTCTAGAAGTAAACTGATTTCAAATTCTGACTGTCATTTGTTAAGCATATGACCCTGAACAAGGGATTCAAATTTTAAAACCCATAATCATCATCTGTAAAATCTAATGACAATACCTATCTGTAAGGGTTATTAACTGCATTAAATGAGATTATCCATGTAAAATGTAAATAAATTGTGCTAACTGAATGGTAAATTTTCACTAAACACTAGGTTTTAATTTTAATTTTAAATTATTTTTAATTTATGTTTATTTTTTGAAAGAGAGAAAGAGCTTGCAAGTGTGAGTGGGGAAGGGATAGAGAGAGGGGACAGAGGCTTGGAAGCAGGCTCTGTGCTGACAGCAGAGAGTCCCAATTGGGGGCTGGGACTCATGAATGGCAAGATCATTAACTGAGCCAAAGTCTGACTGACTTTTTTAATCAACTGACTGAGCCACCGAGGTGCTCCCATTTTATTTTTAATTACTGTAATCCAAACAGTGCTTAACATTTTCTATTAATATTTTTCTATATTACAGAATCTCATTTAATCCTCAAAATAATTATGTGGTATGTATACTGTCACACACACATAGAGTTATGAAAATTAAGTTTCAGTGCAAGGAATACGCCAAAGGAATAAGGGCCAGAGTAGAGTCCTTGACTGCTTGACTCCAATGTCTTTGCTCTAAGTCACCATGGGATACTGCCTTTTAGGATTATACCCGTAAGAAATAAAAGTATTTTTATGAGGATCCTGACCTTACTACAAATCTGGGAGATTCTTTCCCATCTGGCTATGCATCCTTTATTTTTATTCATTGTGATCCTGTTAGTGCTAGGAGCACATTTTTAAATTGTTTATTTTGAAATTATTGGGCCAATGTATTTTTTGCCTTTTTGAGTGAACTAAATGAATTTCCCCCTGGAAAAAAAAAAAAAAGACATACACCTCAGGATCAATAACATGATAAAGGAATGACTACACATACATATCCACATACATATCCAAATAATATTTCTTGTAGTATGTAAATACATCAATAAAATTATGTATATTAAAATGTCTTTTTCCCATATGTAAACACAATATGGGTTTTATATACACACATACAAAGAGATAAACACAGACTATAAGGACACAAACATGCATATACATGTTTATATACATACACACATACACACATATGTATATATAGAAACATACAGAAACAGACATTTTACATCAGCTACTCCTGTTGATTTTATGCATTTGTGACTAAAGCCCAAAAACCTTCTAGTAAAAGACAGATCATGATATTAAACATGCATTATTAGACTCAATACATGATAAAGCAAGTCTGAAACTATGTCCATTTCTGACAAGTGTGGCAGGTTACTTTTGCTGTCTTTACCTTAAGTGGCCTCATGATGGGGTGAAAATTATTAATTTTCACCAGAGAATGCAGAGTGTCTAACAGGCTTTTTGTGTGAACCTAGCTTTCTCTTGTCACTGCTCTTTTACATTTGCATGGATTGTACTAACTTTTATCAGCCTCTTCAAACCCTTGCTTTCTACCTCCTAAAATATATTCTAAATGCATGCTAAGAGTATGAGAAAGAATGAAGAATTTTTTAATTGATACATAAAGTACTCACTAATTATATATAATATATATATATTACCCAGAATATTAATATTTTATTAATATAATCAAGCATAATAAATATTATAGATGTTAGCCTTTGACCTAGCCTATAATTTCTGAATCAGATTGAAATCTACTTTAGAAATTATTTCTGTGAAATTATTTAGGCAATAAATGTTAGATTTATCTTGCTGATTTTAAACATCATTCAGAAGACTCATTTTAATCTATGATAATTGTTATGAGAATCTAGATTAATCATCACATTGAAAATTTACTATGATCAGACTCAGATACACAAATTTCTTTACCAGTTTGTTAGAAAGTGTGATATAAATGTACTATATAATTGGAGCTGAAATATCCAATTCATTTTAAAGCAGATAGTCTAAATGGCTACTCACAAACAAGTGATGTATGTTTATATAAAGACACTTCACCCTGTCATGGATTCTAAATGGGTCTTTTAAAAGAAGAGTTTCTAATCAACCTTGTTTTAAAATGGGTAATACTACTGACTTCTGCCAAGTATTGGTAACACATTTTAATAGGAGCATTTTACTGTTACCTGACAGAACACTGAAGACTGCCTTAAATATTAAGCCTGGCTTAATAAATGGCAGAAACCCACAGAAATGATAGCAAATTAGTCAATTCCGTGCTGAATTAAGATACACTGAAAGGAAATGCATAAAACAAGCAGTTCATCTTTCTGCAAACAGCAAAAAGTACACAGAAGAAACGTTTCATCTTACTGCACACAGCATAACCAAAGAACAGGAAATCCTAGCAACATTTCAAATCCAGTTATTTATTTACTCTTTTTCTTCAGCTATAAAATCTCATCTTTTTACCAAAGAGTACGTGCAGCATTTTGTATTAAACACAAGTATTCTGAAAACAGCCCAGTGAGTTCCACATGTAGAATCTCATGAAAGAAGGTTCTTATTTATTTCATGCACTTGCAAGAGTACAGCAATTCCATGTCTTTAACCTTTGTATCAAAACACACACATTATCAGTGTAATCCAATCTCAAACATCTTAGATTTACTTATTTAAAAAAATTTAAAGTTCCTTGAATGCAACATTCATAACTATACTGTTATCATGATGACCCAGCATCTAGTTTTTCCCCAGCAACTTCTATTAGCCTTTTTTTTTTCATTGTCAGTTTTAATTTACAACCTTGAGGTAAAAAGAATATTCAACTTATTGTCAAGATGAAATAATTCTTCCACTACTTACACACGCATGCACATACACACAGTTTGAGCAACTTCACATTGGTCAAACTGGAAGGAAGAACAACCAAGCAATAAAGCAGACTATGAACACCTCCTAAAATTTGTAATCAGTCATTTCCATTCTTAGGGATTAATTATGATATGTTCCTTCTTTGAGGGGGAAAAGGGCTTTACTGATCCTTATACAAAAGAATGACATATACGGGCAAGAACACATACATGTTTTTAAATACAAACATTGTGTTTACTTGTCTTCTTATATCTTAGAAAGTAAAGAATAATCATTTATAATAATGTTAAAAATATGCTGATATCATTTGTTTTTACTTGTTGTGAAGGGCGATCTGTACAAGTCAGTATGTTATGCCATAAAATCATTTTACACAGATTCATATTTGCAAATATGCCTGGTAATAAAACCTTTATAAGAAGTTACTAATCTGACCAACTCAGTAATTCTCAAAAACATTAGATGCTTAAGAAACATTAAGCTTAGAAGTATTTTTACCTTCATGTCTTTATTCATGGTGTTGCCTCCATCATGGATGTATATATGTTTTGCCTCATTAGCAAAATATAATTTCATGGGTCACAGAAACTATTTGTATACTTTGAGTATGTAAAAGGGAACCTGGATATATTAGATATTCAAGAAACAGTAACATATTAACCTTCCTTTATGTTTAGTTAGACATAATATTGTAAAATAAGAGACTTAGATTCAAAGACAGAAGAAAAATATGACTTACAACTAACTCTAAATCAAAACAAAAGTAGACTTGCTAATGTACTTGCATGTGAATTTATTTTCATGGACATTATTGTGACTCCAGAATATCCAAATTATTCAGCAAGGTATTAAGCATACACTTATATTTTTAGTTTAAATATTTAATTATTTTTCCTTATACCTATATGAGGCAAGTGGAGGAAACATTGTTTAGCTGATAATGGAGGAAAGAAAATATCTTCATCTAGCTCAGAATTTCCTCAAAAATATTGAGAAATGATGGGGCGCCTGGGTGGCGCAGTCGTTTAAGCGTCCGACTTCAGCCAGGTCACGATCTCGCGGTCCGTGAGTTCGAGCCCCGCGTCAGGCTCTGGGCGGATGGCTCGGAGCCTGGAGCCTGTTTCCGATTCTGTGTCTCCCTCTCTCTCTGCCCCTCCCCCGTTCATGCTCTGTCTCCCTCTGTCCCAAAATAAGTAAAAAACGTTGAAAAAAAAATATTGAGAAATGATTTGATACATGTCTTGAAGGAATTTTCTATAGAATCAGTAGAATTATTGGAAGTTTTATATATCACATTTTATATAACTAGCATACCAAATAAGTTTAAAATAAATGATTCTAAAAATTGAAAACAAATATTAATGTATCTCCATTATCCTTACATGATCAATTTAGATTTAAAACTGTAGTATATAAAAAAATATGTATGAAATAATTGCCTAAAATATCA